TAATTAGGACAAGTATTATTATTATTATTATTATTATTATTATTATTGTTATTATTATTATTATGTATTTATTTGTTTTGTTCCAGTTTTAAACTGAGATAGCACTTCAGTCGCATAAACTAGTTAATGATTAAGCAAAATAATGAGGAATATTTTGGCGAAATTCTAGGGAAAGAGAAATAGGGCATCCTAATAAACAAAACATCTATGTTGTCACATGGTAACTATTTGTGGGAGATGGTAGGTTTCTCCTGCTGAACCTATACTCTTCCATTACCATCGTATTATTATTATTATTATTATTATTATTATTATGGTTGTAACCTATACTCTTCCATTACCATCATAGGTATTAAAAAAGAAGTGCGTGCCTCCTCACCACAGCAAAATTTGGTAATCAATTCAGAAGCTTTTAAATAAATTGGAAGAGTTGACTTATAAGAAACAACAATGACAACTATTTCCTCAGTCCCAAACAGTAGGGGTCGGCAATTGACCTTTAAATCACTATTAAAAAAAGGGAAGATTCTGTAAGAATTAAACTACATTGGTGGATGCATCTGTGTAATGTCTTTCATTTTCTTGTCAGGTACTGTACAAAGTGGTACAAGATAGCATCTGAACGAGTCAACTCAATTTGGTGGGATGCAGTATTGGCACCATTAAAGGAGTTGGAGTCCGTGGCGACCAGTGATGTTGTTCATTTGAGACAGGAAACTTCTGATGAAAGCAAGAAAACAGAAGTAGCACAATCAACAGGTATGCTGGATGTGCATGAACATAGCGAGAAAAATTGTGCAGAATACTCAACAAGGAATTCTTTTACAGCAACCAGGAGCTCTCTCGAAGATATGGAGTTGGAAACTAGGGCACTGACTGAACCTCTTCCAACAAATCAACAGGTATAACAAACACAAATATTCACTAAAATTTGACTACATTGCACTGATAGATTTGTTTTGAACTTATTTGCTCTGCAGGCTTACAGAAACCATCGGTTATACATAATTGAAAGATGGCTTAACAAGTATCAGATTCTTTACCCCAAAGGACCTGTATTAGGTTTTTGTTCTGGTCATCCAGTATACCCACGATCCTGTGTACAAACACTCAAAAGAAAGGAAAAATGGTTTCGTGAGGGGCTCCAAGTGAAAGCTAACGAGATCCCTGCAAAGGTTTTTGTCTGCACATAAATCTTTTATTCACCTACAATATGATTTTTGATTGTCCACAACTCTGCAAGTACCTTAATCTGCTTTGCTTTTACGGTCAGGTTCTGAAGCATTCTGGAAAGCAGAACAAAGAACAGGATGTTAAAGATCATGATTATGGCGAGGAAGATTGTGGAGGAACTGTCGCCCTCTATGGACAGTGGCAAACTGAACCACTGTTTCTTCCTCCTGCAGTAAATGGCATTGTACCTAAGGTGAAGCCTTCTAAGTGATAGAAGTACTGAGAAAGTTGAGATTCATTTGGGATTTGACATTTTATGCTAATTTATAAGCATTATACTTCACGAGTGCACGCTTAAATAGGAATAGGTTATGACTTGTTTTATGGCGGAAACAATGAGAGAATAGAGGACACAAAGGTTTTCTGATTGGTGAGAGTAAGGAAGAAAGTAGGAGGTTGAATGGATTTTGCTTAGCACATTCTTTGACATGTTCCACGCCCATTATGTTTTGGTTTTAGGTTATTCTGGTGCTAAGTTACAAAAGTAGCTAATTGGGTTAATGATTTTACCTATTTCTTGTGAAGAAGAAGGGACAGGGAGTAGCGGAAGGGTATATGCATATTCATGTTCCACCTATAAAGCTTTGGTTGGAGAAGGGAAACAGAAATAATCTTTCTGCACTTGTTTTTCTTGGTGTAAAGTGAGTGATGCCGATGCCGACAATCGTGTTTCAGTTTTTACTGTCCTTTTTTTGGGGTGGGGTGAGCGGCATCTCTGAGTCCTGTCTTTTCCTTCTGACCTTCATGACATTTGCTGCAAGCAGTGGTTTTTGGTGATAGCAAAAGTAATACAATTTTGTTCAGATATGTGTGTTGGTGGGTATTGCACATTTTGGCCAGGGCACGGCAACAAAATAAGATTAATATTTGTTTGGGCCGTGCTTAGGATAGAGTATTTACAGTTTTTTCCCATCTGAGAATCTTCATCTGCTCTAAGTGGGTGCAAGCTAGAGTCTTATGTTAGCTTAGTTGTTCAAAAGATAGTCTCTTTGCCCTTTGCATCTTCATCTTTTCAAAAGCCCAGATCTGCATTAGTCCTATTTCGGGTTCAAAGCCTCTTCACTAAAGACCTTTTTTATCCTTTCACAACATGATGTAAAGCTATGGATTTCTTTTGACTATAGCGTATAAACCTTGTTTTATCCATCTGGTTTATGAATCTCTCATATGGCCAATTTTCATTTCTCTGTCTTCTCCTTCTGTTTAAAAATATTTCTTTTGATATAAAGAGTTAAGAGGCAGAGGCATGTGCCTTATTCGAGTCGGACAGATTTGATGTATTTCGCAGCTTCCATTGTCATCATTCCCTCTTCCTTTGCATTTCTCTCCCAACTGAGGTAATTTCTTTTTTCCCCTTACTTCTTGACCTTAATAAACATGATGAGAAACAACTTCAGGATCTACATGGATAAGTCATCATGCCATATAAGAGAACAGATTTTGAAGAATTTCAATATTTTGTGTATATTTAAAGGAAATTTGTTAACATCCTTAAAGTGTGTGTAATCAGTCCAAATTGTACATTTGCAATTTGAAACTTTGAAATCTCTTCTGCTAGAATGTTCAGTTAAACAGCTCTTAGTTGCATGTTATCTGCATATGATGAGTCGAAAAGTACAAGGCTTCAATCTGGAGAATAAGCTGTTCTGTTAAATTTTCCTCTTCAACTACACTCATTGACAACCTTCAACTTTTGGTTTTGTTTCATTTGTTGGCTTCTTGAGATAGTTTCATCGAGCAGTTGCTCAAGAATGTTATCAGTCCCTGTTCACACATTAGACATGTTACATTTATATGTACACCGTTTTGCTTCTTTTCCTTTGTGTAGCAGATGGAATAATCGGTTACTAGATTTATCTCCTCAATATTTTGGTCTATTGGCCGATCTTGTCTCTATGGTTGGTTTTGGCTAGGAAGTGACAGTTGGTATGTGGTTTTTTTTCTAGAATGAGCGTGGTCAAGTGGATGTCTGGTCCGAGAAGTGCCTTCCACCGGGTACAGTCCACTTGAGATTGCCAAGGTTGGTTCCTGTTGCTAAAAGGCTAGAAATTGATTTTGCACCTGCTATGGTTGGATTTGAATTCCGGAATGGTCGAGCTCTACCTGTATATGAGGGGATTGTGGTGTGTACGGAGTTCAAGGATGCAATTCTCGAGGTAAATAATTGCATAACTGGAATAAATTTCATTGCTTGCTTACATATTTTTGACGTCCTTTGTAATGGGGGACCAATCATGTTCTGGGTAACTTCACATTCTTCATCTCTTCTGAGTCCTCATTGTAAAATTGGTCATACTTAAGAAAGTACCTGGAATACTTATCCCGTATTGCAATCAGATAAATGATGCCAATTTTAGGTTGGCTTCTTTGCAAATTTAAGGAGGAAGGCAGAACAGAAAAATGAATGTAGGTGCTTTCTGTTTCTTTGCAAGTATTTATCGCTTGTACCAAATGCTTTGAACAATCGTGTTCTAGCACATTAGGTCACGGGTTTGAGCCGTGGAAGCAGCTACTAATGCTTGCATTAAGGTAGGCTGACTATATCACACCCCTTAGGGTGCGGCCCTTCCTCGCAACATGCGTGAATGCGGATGCTTTGGGCAAATGCGGGACGCTTTGTGCACCGGGCTGCCTTAAAAAAAAGGTGTTCCAGCACATTCTTTATTCGTGTTTTGGTGTACATGGAGGTCAAAGTTCCTCATGTCTCACTTTACTAGACGTATAGGACACCAACATATTTCTAATGTCTTCTCCTTTTCTTTTCAAGTTCTTGGTTGGTGGTGAAAGATAGAGAATAAAACAAATATATGATAGGATTGCTCTTTAGTCCCTAATGTGCAACAGTCAGTAGAGCTTATGGTTGGACTACCTTTCTTTTTTAGTACGGAACTGTACTTTGGGAAAATTTGATTTTGTTTAAAAATATTTATTGCGTCTCTAATTCGTATTCTTTCCTCCCCATGCATGTTCAAAATTTTCTTATCTTTGTTTATGCGGGTCTCCTGTCCATGCCAACTAAGTTTTCAATAAGGCCTATTTGACATAAATATACCAAAAGACTTCTCTGAAGTTTTGGCGCGCGCGCTCACACACACACACACACACACACACACACACTTGTCTCTGAAGTGCTTGAACGTTTTCTTTCTAACGCTATCAAACAATTCCAATTATTACTGTATTTGAAGCCATCCGGCAGAACTAATGTTGAATTTGTTGAGATGTTATCAGACATATGCAGAAGAAGAGGAGAGAAGACAGGCCAAAGAGAGGAAGAGGTCTGAAGCAGAAGCTCTTTCTAGGTGGTATCAACTTCTTGCATCACTTATTACCCGACAGAGGCTACACAATTGCTATGTGGACGGGGCATCCTCACAATCAGCTATCAATTTTGCAACATCCAATGATAAATCCTGCCTGCTAGCTCGTAGCACCGAGGATAAAAAAAAGACACCCGAATACCATCAAGAAAAATCTGAGATTGCGCAATCTAATAGTCCACCAACTGTGCTTGCAGAAGACCATGTGCATGTATTCCTAGTAGAAGATCAGACTGTTGATGAAGAAAGTTCAACAAGGACAAAACGTTGTCGTTGTGGGTTTTCAGTTCAATATGAGGAGCTGTAGTAGAACTTTTGAATCTCTCTATTTCATCTCGTGCAAATCGCGTTGTGAGTAGAGGTTGATGTAAAATACTAATGTATGTATCATCAGAACCCGACTTCTATGCTTATTTATTGCTTAGGGTGCCTATCCAAATTAAGAAAATGTCTAGCTTTTCATCACCAGTTTCATCTGGCTTTTGTATCAAGCTTTATGTGTCTGCTGTTGTAGTTCTGTAAATTGTGCTCTAGTTATCCTTTAGAAGTACACTATCCTGAAACAATTCAGCAGTTTGTGTTTCCTATATCTACAGATGGTCCTACTCTCGAAGACGGTGCATATGCATTATTTGAGTGAAAATAGCATGGGCTAGCCAGTTTTCGGATTGATAATTGAAAAATAGCCAGTGTTTGTAGAGTCATTGAAAAATAGCTACTATTCTAGCTGAAACACAGAAAGTTCTAGCATAATATACTGGATTATGGAGCTCATGCGTATAATTTTCCAGCATATTGTGTTGGAACTCCAGCACATTATGCTGAAATCTCATGTAAAAAGTTCAAACTCCAGCATATTATGCTGGAATTTTTCCGAATTTTTAAGGGTGTTTTTGTTCAGATTTTATCTTTACATGGAAAAGTGGCTAAATATGGATTGCTTTTGAAACTGTGGCTACATTAGGCTATTTTTTTCCCATTATTTGAATGGTTTTCGCTCATAGAAGTTGACATTTTCCCAAGTATATTCAAACACGATTTCAACTTTCAAATACTCTTTTTAGATTTCAGTTTCAATTACACATTTTTTTCAACTTTTGCCAAATTATGTCCTTTTCCAATATCAGGAAGGATAAAGTAAGAGGGACTTGGTTAAAATACATTTTATATTCTTGATCTACCAAAATTGCCCCAGTGTAGCTATTGGGATTGATTTATCCAAGAAAAGATTGAGAACTAAATAGGAAGGGTGAAAAAGATGGAGTGGCTTTGTGGTCCTTTACTTTTACCACAATAACCACGACAAGATTCTACAACTATACTAAAAGGAAACTCTGATGCTGGCCATATACCAATATATGATCTTTAAAGAGAATTTTTCGTAAAACACCACCTTTTAGTCCTAATTAGCTATTTATAGATACCCTTTGCTATATTACGTTTTATAGATACCTTTTATGTTTTTATACAATGTATTTCATGTATTTAAGCGGTTGTATTCATTAATACAACAAAAAAATAGGCGTAAAAACGGGAACTCCAGCTAAGTGTTATCTGTATTTAACTGTATTCAAGCGCAATTAATGTGAAATACAGTAACGTTTTTGCGCAAATTCTGGGAACTTAAACTTGTTAAAAACGGAAGGAAATCAAATCACATGATAGTCTCCTAATTTAACTCAAATAACTAAAACGAGTACACATTAATCTGTATTCTGCTCAAAGAAAGCAACTCAGAAACGTGAAAAGAAGGAAAAACCAAGAGCAACATCTGTTCGAAACTTCTTCTAATTCTTCTTCTTCCTTTTTG